AGTCGTCTTATACGCCCAGTCGTCTTATACGCCGGAAAATACGGTACATAGTTTTGTATTTTTGATGGAACGCAATGAGTTTAGTCAAACATCATAATTCAAGGAAAAAGAATGACGACACTTCGATATACCAGTAACCTGGAAGACATTTGTCAAAGCATAAGCAATGATCGAGTTGCACAAAAAATTATTCTTTAAAAAGAATTGTCAAATTTTGGGTTGCATTTTAAGCCATTTAGAAAAAAAAACTTGTTGGGAAAAATCCTTTGGAATAACTGTTTATTCAAGGATTTTCCCCTACCCCTCCATCCACTCAGCCTTTCTGTTACTGTGAAATTGTGCTGTGTTGCTAGCACATTTTTCTTTAATAAAAAAAAAATCCCAAAACACATGATACAGGATCTGTAAAGAGATGAAGGAGGAGGAAAATAGATCACATTTTGGACAAAAACAGGACCATAACAATGTACCTTTTGTATTTTTAATATAAAAAAATAAAGTTATGGGAGAACATGGCTAAGTAACAATCAAGGTTTTTAATCAAATGCTGCATTATAGATGAAGTATGAATATTTGCCTTTTATATCTTTTAGAGAAGTCTCAATTTGTATTTAATATATTGTGTCTTTGTTTACTTAAACCTGATCACATCTATTTATTCAAGGTTTAATATATATTTTTTTTAATTCTCCGCCTTCTTGTATTTGTTTTTCATTTAACTAGAGCACTGGTTTGGTATCAGGAAACTTATAGGGACTGAGTCTTTTTCTCTGACCCGCTGCGAGTTGAAATCTTTCTGCAATGATTCTCTTTCCTATTTCATGTGCCCACAGCCACTTCCTGGAACATGAAGCTATAGCATGAACAAGCACATAATCTATTTCTTTAATAGTATTAACTATTAGCTAAAACATATTCCTTTATGTAAAAGTACTACAATGGTACGCAAAAGAGTGGCTCAATCACAGGAGCATCTGTTCAAACTCCTCTCTTCTCTCCACCCCCTGTATTTCAGATTCTCCCAGGAGTGCACACTACTACTTTCGGGGAAAAATCTAAAATTTCACATATACTTTCTAAAGAAAATTAATAAGCTGTATTCATATGCCAAGCAGAATACTGTAATTGTTTAACATAGTGGAAGTTGTTTCTAAAATCTTTAGAGGTGCTCTGGAATAATTTAATCCTTGTTTGCATTGGAACTAGGTTTCCCAAATTTAATGCACATTAAAATGTGTGTATATTAGTGCACAGTGATAAATATTCAGATATAAAATGTAATGGGCAGAAATAAAAACTTACACTTTAGCCTCTTCCCCCCAGCTACATGCTAGTCAGTAACAAAAGACTTCATTGTGGGAGTGACCATTCCACTGTCAGAGGGAATTTACAGTCTGGGTGCCTCTGTGGAGCCTGGCTCCTGAATGAGAGAAGAAAGGGCCATAGCAGAAGTAAGGACAAAACAGTCTCTCCCCAGATTTAGGGGGCCCTTCCCCATAGACTGGCGATCTAGGGGTTTGGGAAGCCAAACCCATGTTCCTGCCTTGGCCCTTTATGCCCTCCTCTTGACAAGACTTGATAGAAACCCTGCAAGGTAAACCTTCAGTTTCTTAAAAACCACCATCCTCTATCCACTTCTGTGAACTAGCACAATGCATGTCTTAAATTGCCATGCTAACACTAGCATTTAAATGCCCTTTCTGGGCATTGACCTCAAGACTTAGGACGCTGGAAACATAGCGCTGCTCCTCAGAACTGCATTGCTGAACTCAGGATAGATCTACTTGTCCTGCATTCTTCCTGGCAGCTGCTACCGCTCTTGCACTAGGAACACACACAGGGGATTCCCCCACCTCCCACTTCCTATACATCTGCAGAAGGTCAGAGTTTCATGCCAGTAACTTTCCACCACACTCTCAGCTGATGCTGCGTGGCATGTGCCTTTTTTGTTTCTGCGCTGCCTCTTTTTTGCTTCCAAGAAGGAAGCAAGACTTATTCAGGTGGTTGATGGAGCTCACTTTAGAGTCACTCCAGATAAGAAGCCTAACAGAGTTCCTAGGTGACTGACATCCACTTTGATTGGCTAATTCTTAAGTGCTAAACTTAGGGGAGGGGTTAGAGAGACTTTTGCAAAGCTGGAATAGCATGGTAGCCCTGTTGGAATGATTAATAGTATGTTTTATGCCAGTCTGTTAACCTAGGTATCACTAGAAATCAAAGTTGCTCTGACATGCCTCCTATTATTACAGTAAGTAACTATGTTTCAATTTGAACACTAGTCATTTAAAAAAAAGTGACTCTAAAGGACAAAATAAGTTGGTCAACTAAACTTCAAATACATTTTATTCTGAATAACCTATATACACATCAAGATGCATCTCTGCCATGTATTTACTTGAAACATCCATTTTAAACAGCTTAAATTCTGTACAAAAGGGACTACTTTACATGTTAGTAGGATTTAACATTACATTATACTAACTGCAAAATAATGCTTTATAAGCTAGTGTTAGAAAAACAAATACTATTTACAAATAGTTAATTTGCCTGTAAACAAGTTCAAGACAGGTTAGTTGGTTCCCTTACAGGCAATACTGTTACAATTACCAGTTATCTGTACTAGGTCTTGCTTTAATCCACAGACTTTCCAAAACAGATATGTGAGTTGACTGTCAGTGCTCTCTGGGTGATGAAATGTCAGTGGAGTGCAAATACTAAGTGCCTTCCATAATGGTTTACAATCTCACCCAAAAAGAACAGGAGTACTTGTGGCACCTTAGAGACTAACAAATTTATTAGAGCATAAGCTTTCGTGGGCTACAGCCCACTTCTTCGGATGCATATAGAGTGAAA